TTAAAACGAATAATTTTGTTAAGGATTTAAAGTTCGGTGATACCTTTCGGATTTATTTCAAGTCACTTTCAATAATTATCTTCTATGGATTCAAGATTTTCCATATTAGTCATTAGTTTTCATAAATGAATAATTCGTACTATTATCACGACAAAAAAAATTATGACTCAAGTAAGAAATTACGAAAATGAAAGGGAAAAACCAAACGAGTCGATCTTAAAAATAAAACTAAGTTAGACAGAAAGAAAGAAAATAACATTACAATAATATTTAAATAGTAAACATTTATTTTTCTTATTCTTATTTAAAAATATTCTTATCACGAATATAAAACGTATGAACACTTAAAACTGCGTTCTTTCCATTTTATATTCTCTTACAAATTTAATCAAAACATGCATGTGATAGCAAAACTGTGTTATATGATTATTTGCTTTATTGTTATCGATCTAGAAATACTTTTATGATTTTGTGATATTGTGTGGAAAATTATTCGATTATGAGAAAAACCATGAAAATTTCAGAATGAAGGATTAAATTAAAAAAAAATTAAGTTTTATATTTAAAATGCAAATAAGTAAAAAGTTTCGAGGTTAAAACCATGACAATAATAAATAAATTATTTAAATCAATTTATGAGTAATAACGAACATAAATAAATAAACAATAACATGTTAGTAATAAGAATAATAATAAATAAATTAATAATATTCTGAAATTATAAATTTTAATATTCCTAAAATATACATATTGACAACTGATTTAGTAACTTTATTTTCTTTTACTTTAAAACAAATTATCTAAATTCCAACAAAAATTTAATACTTAAATTTCAAGAGAACTCTAACAAATTATATTTTAATGAAATGAATATTTTCTGAGAAAAAAAATTGAACTCTCTATTTATAAAATTTTATAACCAGTTAAATATTTTTTATTTTAATAAAATTTTATATAATTACAAAGTTTATATATAATAAAATATATTTATATAAATGGTTTTTCAAACAAATATTGATATAAATAAAAATGATACAATATATATATCCATATAAAAATAACTTGAAAATACATTATAAATTATAAACTTAACAACCTTGTGTTTACAAGGTGTAAGACTAATATGATATAAATAATATATTATTTAAAAAAACTACATAAATATAATTTAACTAATTTATTTTTTAATTATATTTATTTACTGGTTATATATATTTGAGTATGAAAATAAAATTCGTTGACAAAAAGCAGTAATTTTGTTTAGTTCTCGTTTATTATTATTTTTTTCTTTCTCTCCACTAACCTGTTTTTCTTTATTTTTTTTATCTTTTAACATTTATTTATTATTTTTCTCCTTCCCCTCACTTTTATTCTTCTCTTTTCTTTCCCACAATCTTATTTTTCTAATTAAAAATATTATATTACAATTTAATAAAAATATATTAATTTTTTAATCAATATTAAAATAATAAAATATTTATTTTAAATAATTTTTATTAAATAATTTATTTAAAATTACTTAACTGAACTAATTATAGTAACATAATTTAATTATAATTAGATTAAATTATTAAATAAGTAATTTATTTATTATGAATAATTTATTTATAAATATTTAATATATTATAATTAAATAAATAATTTATTTCTTACGATAAAATAATTTTAAATTAATTATTTATTATTATTATAAATAAATTATTTACTGTAATTATAATTTTAAATAATTAAATTATATCTCGTTTAGTTTTAATATTGATTTAAACAAAATTATTTTAACATATTTTAATTAAATTTAAATTTAGTAAATTTATTTTGAAAAAGAAATTGAGAGGAAAAAGAAGAAAAGGAGAAAATAAATGAATAAATAAAGCACAAAAAAAAAGTAGTGAAGATAGAAAAACATATATGTTGATGGTTGAACATTCTCTGAATAGGCCAAGAACAGAGTGAAGACAAATTCTTGGTTGTTGGAAATTCTTCCAAAAACACACTGTGCGTATCAAACCATCCAAAATGGAATTAATTTTTGTTTTTTATAAAATGAACAAAAGTGCTTATATGAAAGATATTACTTTTTTTATATTGATTTTTTTCTTCCATTTATTTTAATGATGATAATATATAAATTAGGAAAATATAAAAAAAATAAAGTATACAAATTTATTTTCACGTTAGTCCTTATGAAAAATCAGAATACTAATTTTATGTTTGAATAGTTTTAAAGATTAGATATAATTAATTGTTATATATTTTCAAAAATGGAAAAAATATTCTATCTATATTCCCCTTTGAGTCTTGTGAAGTGGTATCCACGAGAAAAAAAAAGTATCATGAACATAAACAACAAATGACTATTTTAAAATTTTCAATTTTTGGAGATTCATCACATTTGATAGAAATGAAAAAGTTGAGTAATTTATAAGTAAGAAAAATTCATGACCTAATGCCTTAAGGTTTTGAATTGAAGGTAATGTCATATTCTTTTATATGATTGACTCAAGTTCCATTTATGAGAATATTCCTATTGTTAGTCCCCTCGAGAGACCCAACTTAGTGGTGTCAGAACCGATGATTAGTTTATTATTTATGATATTATTTTGCTGCTATATTCATTAGAATAATATTAGAGAAAATGCTTACTTAGTGTACTAGTTACAATTTGTATTGTTGTATCAGGAGGAAATACATATTAGACTTGGTTTATTATGATGTGTTGGAATCACTGATATTATCCCAAGGAGGGGTCAAATATTTGTGTCAGTGATGACAATGATTACTCTAGGAGATTATGGGTGTACTGCATCAAGAGGAAATTTGTTTTTTCAAAGTTCGGGAAAGGAAAATTCTTGGACTATGCTAACAATGTGAAGGGGTATTTTCTATGAATCTCATTATCCACAAAGTTATTATTGGCGATGATACAAATATTTTTTTTTTTCAAGATGAACTTAGAGAAAGGACTTATGTGCTCCAACCAGAAGACTTAAAGAAAAAGGAAACTTGGTTTGCAGATTGACCAAATCTTTGTAGGGTTTAAACCGGGTGTCCAGGTGTTAGTACAAGAAATTTGATTCTTTATTTTTAGTTTTGATTACAACAAACTAAGTTCATACTATTGTACATATTACAATAGATTTGATGAGAATGATTTTATCATTTTATCGTTTTATGTGGATGACATGTTGGTGTAGGCTCCAACAAAATTCGAATCCAGGTTTTGAAGACACAATTGACTAGTAAGTCTGATATGAAAAATAAGGGACTAATAAACAAGATTTTAGGGATACAAATTCACCGAGACATAAAAGATAAGAATATTTAACTTTATCAGAAGATTACTTACGGAAGGTCTTGCAGTGCTTCAACATGCAAGGGTGTAAGCCAATTTTTACCCTATTTTCTATCAAGTTATCATCAAGTATGAATCCTAGCAATAAAGCAGGGAGGATAGAAATGTCTCACGTAGTGTATGCATCAACGGTGAGAAGTCTTATGAATACCATGATCGGTACAAGACCAGACATTGCATAAACAGTGAGAGCGGTTAGTAGATCAATGAAAAATTGTGGTAGAGAGCATGAGTATTATCAAGAGAATTCTTATCAAAGAAACCTTGAATGTTGTATTATGTTTCGGAGGATCAAAACTAGTTGTCAAATGCTATGTTTGTTTAGGTTTTGCATGTGATCTTGATGAGTTTACCCTTTGTTGGAGAGACAATAACTGATTATCCAAGTTATAGAATGTTGTAACTTTGTCTATCACAGAAACTGAGTACATGACAGTCATCCAAATATGTAAGGAAACTATTTGGATTAAGAGGATAATTGAGAAACTCAGGCACAAGCAGCAATAGATTATTGTGTATTGTGACAGTCAAAGTGTCTTGCACATTATAAGGAATCCTACCTCGTATTTTAAGATAAAGTAAGAAGAATCTAGTAGATGTTATGACAGTCGGTTAACGATGACAAATTTGCATAGAGGCGATTCTACTGAAGGTCTATTGCAATAATAATATGGAAGACAATAATAATGTATTGTAAAGATTTGATTAATTTAATCAAAATCTTCAAGTGAGAGATTATGAGAATGTGTGAAAAGAAGTCCCACATCAGAAGAAGAAATTATATGTTGGTGCTTACTTTTTCTGTTATAAAAGGAGTATCATGTCTACCTTATAAATCACCCCAAATATTTCCATTTTCCTTTCTACTAGTGCATTGTATAATAATTGAATCTTCTTATTTATAAGAAATAATATTATTATTGTTTTCTCCTATGAGAGTAACTAAACATGTTTCCTTTCCCGGACTAACGAATTGTATAATTTCATGAATTTTATATTATTTAGGAGTCAAGGTTAAAGATAATTTATATATATATCTTCTTCTCTTAATCCACCTATACCTTTTTAAAGACAAAATCGTGATGAATTAAAACTCTAAAATAGATAATATATCGGAAATGAAAATTAATTTTAATAATGTTATTATAACATATATGAGATTGATACTCTTCTTCTTAAAAATAATACTTAGTGTTCACTGTGAAACCATATAGTTTCACTCAGTCAGATTTCTTACTTTTCAACTAAAAAATTTATGAATCTCATTATTTAACATAAAAAATAATTTATATATACATTTTTTTTTCACTCAGTCAGATTCACTGTGAAAACATTTTTAAAGATAAAAACACAACCAATTAAAATTACAAAAATGTTTGTTAAAGAAATTAAAGTTATTATATAGAGAGAATACGATTTTAAAACGGATCTATTTGATTATTTATTAATAAATGAAGTTGGTTACAGGTGAAAGAAATATATTTTATCAATCTTTTTCGGTGAAGTTAATATGCTGGGACCTACATAGGACAAGTTTGATATTTCATACTGAGTATGTCTCCTTGATGAGACCCCTCAATAATGTGCAAGAGAATTCAGATCCTATAAATAAATATATCTGCAAAAGTCTGTGATTACTGGATGCACCATGGATCCTGATTCCTATGTCCAAACTATTGCAGGAATCTTAGCTCTGTTAATTGCATACACTGTGTTGAGGTCCATTAAATTCCCTGATGGATCTAAAAAACTGATCAAGGGTAACAAACTACCTGAACCACCTTTTGCTTTACCTTTCATAGGTCACCTCCATCTTCTGAATGCTAGAGTACCCTATTTCAGGACCTTTTCAGCCATGGCTGAGAAATATGGTCCAATTTTCTCTGTCAATTTGGGTTGCCACCCCACCGTAGTGGTGAACAGCAGGGAAATCGCCAAGGAGTGCCTCACAACCAATGACAAAGTTCTTGCCTCAAGGCCTAACACTTCTGCAGGGAGACTCTTAGGTTACAACAATGCAGTTTTTGGCCTTGCCCCTTATGGAAATTATTGGCGTGAGATTAGAAAAATGGCCGTTCTTGAGATTTTCTCAAGCTACAGGCTTGAGAAGTTAAAGCATGTGAGAGACACTGAAACACTGTCTCTTGTGAAGGACATGTACTCGTCAATATCATCTGCAATGAACGTGAAGGGTTCAACTGAGGTGGCTATGAGCAATCTATTGGAGCACATGACGTTCAATATAATTGTGAGGATGATAGCTGGGAAGAGATTTGGAGGGGACACAGTAAATGAAGAAGAAAATGAGGCATGGAAGCTGAGGAAAGCCATAAAAGATGCCACATATCTATCTGGTGTTTTTGTGGTGGCTGATGCAATTCCATCCCTTAGATGGTTTGATTTTCAAGGGCATTTGAGTTTCATGAAGAGGACAGCTAAGACACTTGACCTTATCCTTAAGAGGTGGCTGGAAGAACACGTGAAAATGAGAGGGGAGCAGAGAAACGGTGGATGTGAGAGGGACTTCATGGATGTGATGCTATCAGCCTTCGAAGAGCAAGAAGATATTTGTGGCCACGAGAGGGAGATAGTTATCAAAGCAACATCGTTGGTAAGTGTTATTCAATGATAATGATAGTTCGTTCTATCTCCCATGTGATTCTGCCCCACAAGCAATCATCCTCTAATTCATTCATCCCTATCACCCTTAATTAATCTCTATTGTGAATTCAATCCGTTTAATTCTAAATAAATAGATTTTAATTAAATAAAAAATATCAGTGCATTTAAGCTGTTGGGGTGAATATGTTTTGCTAAAGAAAAAAATAAGATTAGTTTTTTTTTTATAATTTTTATTTCATAATTAATAATAATTATTTTATCTTATTTTTATCTTATTTTAATAATTATTTATTAAAATAATTAATAATATATTTTTTAATATATTTTATATTTATAATATTTATTATAATATATGATATTATTTTTTTATAAAAAAATTATTAATAATAAATTTATTATATATTTATTATATTATAAAAATAATATTTGATTAAATCTTAAATTTTAATTAAATATTTAAACTCTGAAATTATGTTTTCTTCAATTCAATTTTAAAAATATTGATATTAATAATTATTTTTATTAATATAGTATTAATAAAAATAATTATTAATTGAGTGTAGATTAATTGTGAAATTATCATTTTCCTTTCAACAATATTCAACACATCAATTTCGGTAATTAATTTTACAAAAAGTTGGGGATGTTATTCTAAAGTTTCATTTTAACATCTTCCTTTAACACTTTCTATTAATTTTCAGACAGAGTCCCGAGCTATCAAGAGTCTTTGACACTTCCATTTTTTATTTTGGCTTAAGATATATATATTAAATAATTTTTATGGAAATAATTGTATGTTTCTTTCCTTTTGCATTCAAAAAATAAAAGAGGTTACTGATGTTGATGAACTTTTGTCACAGCTTCTTGTCCTTACTGGTTCTGGAAGCACAGCCATAACCCTAACATGGGCACTCTCCTTACTCCTAAACCACCCCAAGGTCCTAAAGGCAGCACAACAAGAATTGGACACCCAGGTGGGAAAAGAAAGATGGGTGCAAGAATCTGACATAGAAAACCTCACTTATCTCCATGCCATTATCAAAGAGACCCTTCGTCTGTACCCACCAGCACCCTTAACAGGAATCAGGGAAGCCATGGAGGATTGTTGTGTGGCAGGGTATCATGTCCCGAAGGGAGCACGTTTGCTTATTAACCTATGGAAGTTGCAGAGGGACCCACAAGTATGGTCCAACCCTAATGAGTTTAACCCAGACAGGTTCCTCACAACCCATCAAGACGTTGACTTTATGAGCCCGAACTTCCAGTTGATTCCATTCAGCTTTGGAAGAAGGTCCTGCCCTGGCTTGACATTTGGGCTACAAGTGTTGCACTTGACCCTGGCTCGGTTGCTTCAAGGGTTTGATATGTGCGTGAAGGATGGTGCTGAAGTTGATATGACTGAAGGGTTAGGAGTGGCCTTGCCTAAGGAAAACGATCTCCAAATTATGCTTGAACCACGTCTTCCATTGGAGCTTTATGAAAACCTTTGAATCAAGTGTGGAAAAACCATAACTAGTTTTATAATTATGCTATCATATTACAACCCTAAATAATGAGATTGTACTTTGCGTTGTGTGGCTTCTTATTCCAAAAGTTTATGTAATTTATAATGGTAATAACCACTAGGATTTTAGTGTTAAATAAGAGATAATACATTTCAAACTTTATATAGTTAGTTTTATTATTTTTATCTTTGTAATATACATATATCAAAATGAATTTTTCAAAACATTGGGTGGGGTGTGTCAATCAAAATTAATATTTTATTAATTTATTTAATGATAGACTAATTTGCATTATCGAAAGATAATATTTTTATTAATTATGTTAGATATTCACCTCTAATTCCTAACACACTATCGGTTCTGAAGGCCTTCAACGTCGGTTAAATTTAAACGACGTTGAAAGTTTGATTTTTCAGATCAATAATTTTCATTTATTTTATATTTTTTAGAAGTTTAAAGCATTACCAAATTAAATTTTTAAGAGAATTGTCACAAGCAAGATTCAAACCCAAGTACCTTAGAGTTGGAGGTCGATACAACAACCACTAAACTACTAGAATTTTTTTATAATAACTTACAAATAAATTATATTTATATACAAATAAATATATATCCGTGTAAATATATAAATATATAAATACAAATATATTTATATATTTTGATATATTTATATAGTTATATATTTATATGTTGGATGTGAGGATACGTTCGAAGGTGAAAGTGTGTGTCGAGTGGGTTTTCAAAATTTGATGCTAAATTTGTGAGCTGGTCTCTTTATATGAGTTTGTAATTTAATGACGTAATATAATCTTTATAATTTATTAATATAATGGTATAAAATAAATTTGGGAAACACGTCATTCACTCTCAAGCGAAAAATACCAATTTTCGCTCAAGCGAGGCTTGAGCAAGTGAATTTCCGTGAGTTTTAATGTATTTTCATTCAAGCGAGAGTCAATCTCACTTTCACCCTCGAGCGTGCCCTCACATCCAACATATAAATATATCAAAATATATAAATATATTTGTATTTATATATTTTATATAAATACTGGGTTCAAATCCTGTCGATGACAATTCTTTAACTTAAGTGAATTTTTGGCTAAAATAAAAAATAAAAACACTTTCCAAAAAATATATACAAATAAATATATATTTACACGGATATATATTTATTTGTAAGTTATTATCGGAAAATTATAGTAGTTTAGTGGTTAGAATATCGGTTTTCAATTCTAAAATACTGGGTTCAAATCCCGTCAGTAATAATTTTCTAATTTAAGTGAATTTTTGGGTGAAAAAAATAAAAACAAAAAGACTTTCCACGTCGGCTCATCTAGGAACCACCGTGGAAAGTGTCAATAAAAGACTTTCAACGTCGGTTCATCCGGAACCGATGTGAAAAGTACTTTCTACGTCGGTTGACTAAAAATCGACGTAGAATGTGTTCAACATTCAACTTTCAACGCTCGGTTGACTAAAAACGACGTTAAATGATGACGTAGAAAACATATTTTGTAGTCGTGACATATATAAATACGAATCTCCAATTATTTATATATTTATATATATATATATATATATATATATATATATAAACTTTTATTTGTTTATCAATAAATTAATTATTGAGATATTCGTAAGTACTTTTTTAAGTTTGTACATATAAACTATATAAAAATAGTTAAATTATATTATTATTGTTAAATAAATTAAAATTAATAAATATAGAATATTTGATACTTACTCAATGAATGGTTTAACTTTATTACACTTCAAAAGAACATGTTAATATTTTTCTATCATTAAGTCACCTTTCTTTATATTTATCAGTCTTTGTCAATGACTTAAAAATAGATAGTGTTAGCTCTATATTGTCTTCATGAACTATTTAATTCACACAAATTCAAGGTGCAAAATTAATAATGAAAACGAAAATAAAATGTATCTTGTAGTAATTATGCTTCACAAATGGATTTTTCCACACTTTTCTTGTTCTTTACAATTTATTTTAATTTTATTTAGAAACCTTTGTACACAAAGGTAATATCAATTGTGTGGTAAATTGTATAATGATATTGGGTATAAAAGAATATAAAAGAGTGTTACTTTTCTAATTGGTACATTCAATGGTATTGAATTGGTTTTCTGATTCTAGCATCAGAAGGTAAATGAATTGGTAGATGTTCCAGAAAGTCAAATAATGACTCTATTTGGTAACACTTCTACATAGATCTTTGAAGAATTGACTAAGTTCAATTAAGAGCTTCCATTTGGGTTCAAGAAGAGCTCTTAAAGGTATTGAGAGAAGTCATTCCATAAAAATATATGATAATCGTAACTTTTCATCCCATATAATCTTATACATTTTGCATCTACACATCTAGAAATATTGGAAGCATATACATTAGGCATATTTTAACCATTCACTCACACATTATTTTTTTATTTACTTTATAAACAAAATTTGGATTTAAACTTTGTACATTTTCCATTAGAATTTGAACAATAACTCTTTTCTATTATAATACAATGTCAAGTTCAATCACAACTTCTCATTGTCTTTAGTTTTCTCTTTATTATCCATAACACCATGAAACGAATTTCCAAAGACAATTTTTCTAAGTGCATAACATTTAAATTGTGTTTTTAATATGACAAATCCAAAATATGTTTCTCTTTGTCCAGTTATGGGAATATTCGTGACCAACATATCTTCACTTCAATTGACTTAGAAATGTTAGAAACTATATCTCATACTTGTTCACCACTTAACTTAGGAGGAGACTCATCTTTCTCAATTCTATTTTTGTAAAAGACATATTATTTCTCTTGAAAACATGATTATGAGGTAAAAATTGACTATAACAATCAAATCAAGTCATTTTTCTTCCATTTTCCAGTGAAAAAGCTTTTGATTTTTTTCATACATATTGGATAGGAAAATTTTCTAGCAGTACTCCATCCAAACAACATCTCATATGCAGAATAATCATTTATTGTCCACAATAATGTAATTCTCAATCAAAAATTTTGCATTTTTGAGGTATCATATGTTATTACACCATTATTTGCAATCCATCTACCAATAATTGCAAATACACATCAATTTTAGCTTTGGGATTATGTGGACCTAAATTGATCAAAGTCAATAACATATAAGAAATCATCATAAGGAGTCATCATACATAATTCTGGAGGGAGATTATATTGTATGACATTTACTGGTCAACCAGAATATGGTATTGTCAATTGGCTAAAGAAAGTGAATCCATTGACACACAAATCAAGTCTCACATTTTGATGTTATGAGACAAATTTAGGATATAATTTATTAAAGTACTTCCAAGGATAACACAACACACCTTTCCTACAATTTTCATAGTGTCACTTCATGTGCTTTACAAATCTTGTTGAAGAATATAACCTTTGTAGTCTAGAAACATGTGATAAGTAATGCAATCTCTTATGGAGAACATCTTTATGATTTTTCTTGCATTCATCGGGTGTTTTATATAAAGGCTTTCTACAAAATTTACATTCCTTCAAATTGTTGTCATTTTTCTAATACAACATACATCCATCAATGCAATAATATATTTTTATCCTTGATAAACCAAGTCATCCTACAAGTTTATTTGTTTTCCTAGAATTGGAGGAATAACATTCTCAGGGTGGTTTGGCTCTTCCATAAATTTTATTGCATCATTAAAACAAGTTTGCAACATGTTATATTCAGATTTTATACTCAACATCATAATACGTAAACAACTCTGATGTATATTTACATCGTAGTCATATGACTGTTGAGTCGAATTAGCATTTTATTCGACAACTTCCATATTTAGAGATTTCCCTTCAATTGGTATAAAGTGTTGCTCATAATAAAACTAGCATCATCAAACTGTTGGAAAATTAATAATAATAATAATAATATTCACGATCAAACATAAATGTAATCCCATACTGATAAACATGCTATAAACTGAATGCGAAAGCGTACCTAAATTAGTCATAATGATGATGTCTTTGTAGAATACTATATTGATCTTATGGTCTTCCACCTGAAGAGCACCTGTATTTCCCTCTTGATTTTCTCTCTTGATGGGGATAGAAAGAAAGGAACGAGACTGATATTTACATTCTGTGTGTGTGCTCCCAGAAGGGGACCATGACCCTTTAGATAACCAGAATTAGGTTAATTACTTAAGTTTTAGTATTTCCAATTTGACCCCTCATCAAATTAGAAATTACTCTATGGTCTCTACATAATTTATTTTCATGACATATGCCTTTAGCCAAAACTTTAATTTAGTCAGATCACTTTATTATTTGGCTTAATAAATAATGGCCCTAACACATTTAAATTATGTATCATATATATACATGACCCAAATTTTGCCAACAATCTCCCACTGGTCACAAATATATATGTCCTTACAACCTTACAAATGTGTTAAACTTTATGAGCTCAAAATTGTCATTATATTCCTTTAGCATACTCCAAAAGTCCTGTCCATTAATCATATCAGGATATAGAACCAAACCAGCTTTTCATTGCATCATCGCAATTAAAACCAACAATGATTACTCATCCTAACATAATCAAATGACATGGATTCATCATGAAATGTGTAGCATGAAAAATTACGTGAAGGTGATTTGTACACGTCTATTTTCAACTGGTTCAAACTTTAACTTATTGAGATCGATATAATATCCTTAATGTACAAAGTGTAATGAATGAATGAAAAAACCGCATATCTATAGATAACCAAATATGTCCAAAAATCAATGTATACATATATGAAATTAAACATAGAACATAAAATATATGAAAGTGACTAACTCCCATTAAACCACAAATTCCTCAAACTGTAAAATACCCATGTGAGTAACATGCTCATGAAAAACCTTGGGTAGAAGTCCTTTAGTTAGAGGATATGCTATCATTGAGTTTGTCCTTAAGTGTTCTATGAAAATCT